ATGAGTACAAGCTTTGACATCTGTCCTTTACTTGGTGTGACTTTAGGTTTTAATCTCTATATGCTTAATTTCTTCACTCTCAAAAGGGGAATGAAGAATAATAGTACCAACTCCCCAGGTATATTATGAATTTTGCTGGCACATAGTATGTATTAAGCAAACACTAACTATTATTAAGCAATACCACCAGTGTAAAAGATTTTCATATGAACAGCTTAGTAGACAGCCTGTTGGCTTTTGCATTATTTGAATTTTGTTTTTAACACATAACAATAAAGACTTTTATTTATTTTTATTTTATCCTCACCAGAGGACATTTTTCCACTTTTTGTTCAGATGGGGGAGGAGGGGGGGGAGGAACAGGGCGGGGGAGAAACATTGCTGTGAAAGGGACACATCGAATGGCTGCCTCCCGCATGACCCCAACTAGGGCCTGGGACAAATTGCAACCAAAGTACCTGCCCTTGACCAGAAACGCACCCACGACTCATTGGTCTGTGGGCTGACACTCTAACCACTGAGCCAAACCAGCCAAGGCAAAAGATGTGTTTTTTTACAACTTATATTACAGTAAAATCTATGAAGGACTCCTAAGAATAATTGCCTTTCTAAATTGCTGTACTGCTGGTTTACACTCCTTAATATCTACATACCACAAAAGAAGTAGTCAATATTAAACAGTAAAATACTATTCTAGTAAATACTAAGCAGAAGGTTAAAATCAATGCAGTTCAAATTACCTGATTATGTCTTAAATACTTTTATTTTGAGAAATTTCAAACATACACAAAAGTAGAAACAATAATGAACCTCCAAGTACCAATCAACAGTCTTCAACTATTAACCTAACTATTGTTTATTTTACCGTCCTCGATTTTAAAGCAAATCCCAAACATGACATCATTAAGGATGCCTGTTCTTAAAATGTTGCAAGCAACCTGTGGTAAATTACAAATCTCTTCCATCTGAGTGTACACCCCCACCCCCTTTGTATTGCGATGCTGCTGATCTGCCCAGGAAGAGATGAAATCTTAATTCCTCACTCCTTGAATGGGGGGCTAGTCTTGTGAGATTTACTTTCACTAAAAGAATGTGCAGTGTTAAGTGACATTATATGTATGATCTGCCAAGCTGTAAGAAGTCTTATAGCTAACACTTTCCCTGTCTTGGATTGCTGTCCTGAGACAGCCATATTATAAAAGACCACTTGGAGCAAAGCCTAAATATTAAGCAACACCAAATGCCAGTCATGCAAGTGATGCCATCTTGGACCTTCCAGCCTGAGAAATCCTCTGATGATGAACATGAGTGAACACAGACAAAGCCAGTATAATTGCCCAACAGGCACACAGAACTGTAAAAAAAAAAAAAAATAGCAAACAGCTTTAATCCACTAGATTTTGATGTGGTTTGCCATGGAACAACAAAGCTTGTTTCTAAGGAAAATCTGATTCTATTGCAGGGTGTAATTTAGAATTTGTCTTTGATATCCAAGTCAGCTGCAGTTGCTGAATTACCAAAAGCACATTACTATACAATAAATAGGCCAGAGTTATACCAAAAATACCAATGTACTGTAATAGCCAATAGCCTTCCAGAACTACAAACATAGTTACAATTCCATTATTTACCTCTACTTGATATATTCTTTTGTTTAAAAAACTCTGCCTCTGAGGAAAAAAGTTTTTTTCTCAATAAGAAATTCTAGTCCTTTATTGATCCTAGTGAATATGGAGACATGGAAGCTAAGGGAGGTCACATGAGGAAAGCAAAGAACTTTTTGAGTCTTCAAACGATTTTTCGTGAACACATATTTAGGACACAAAGATATACCCATCTTAAAAAAAAAAATAGAAAAACGTTTAATATCTCCATGAGAAAATATGACTATGATGTTAAGTCTACACTACAGTACTTTATGAGATAATCTGTTCTCCTTTAATGTGGATTTAAAATAATAAGTCTCGCCCTGGCCGGTTTGGCTCAGCGGTTGGAGCGTCGGCCTGTGGTCCAGAGAGACCCGGGTTCGGTTCCCGCTAAGGGCATGTACCTCGGTTGCAGTTTGTCCCCGGCCCTGGTTGGTCGTGTGGGTGGCGGCCACTCGATGTGTCACTTCACATCGATGTTTCTCTCTCTCTCCCTCCCACTCTATCTGAACAAAAAATGGAAAAATGTCCTCGGGTGAGGAAATAAATAAATAAATAAATAAATAAATAAATAAATAAATAAATAAATAAATAAGTCAGTCTCGCCCTGGCCGGTTTGGCTCAGCGGTTAGAGTGTCGGCCTCCGGTACAGAGAGACCCGGGTTCAGTTCCCGCTAAGGGCACGTACTTCGGTTGCAGTTTGTCCCCGGCCCTGGTTGGTAGTGCTGGTGGCAGCCACTCGATGTGTCCCTTCACGTCGATGTTTCTCTCTCTCTCTCTTCCTCTCTCTCCCTCCCACTCTATCTGTACAAAAAATGGAAAAATATCCTCGGATGAGGATAAAAAAATAATAATAATAATAATAAGTCTCAAGTTTCAATCTTCATTCAGTAAGTGGAAATCATTTTAAGGTGTGTTTTTTCCCCCCATAAAGTGAGAAATACATTATATTGAAGTGCAATGATCATAATGGAAAGACAAGAACTAGCTTTTAAGATTTAAAATTTGCCCTTTTAAAGCTGCTGACAAAAGTGGATGTAGACCTGTAGGTGATTTTAAAACCAGGTGTTCAACTTATGTAGTCTAACCGGTACAGTCAGAGAGAGCAAGAAAAACCAGCTTTGACCACAAGTTCAGACCACGGTAGAAAAGTTAAAAATTAAGGTCAATAAAAATTCAATTCCAGACAACTAACTCTCAAATTGTAATTTTACACCCCCCACTTTTGAGTTCATCTTATGATTAGCAACTGTATTAAAGACAGATTTTTTTGTCAAATGATGATTTGTGAGAATATAATTATTTCATTGTAATAGAATTCTGCATTAGTGAATTCAAGTAGGTCTTAGTAGGAACTCAAAATCTTACTCATTTTAAATCTGTAATCATCTTAATGTTGTTGTTGATTGTTATTTAGATTCATTAGTTCTTGTTTAATTTGTTGGTTAAAGATGAGGTTTGATGCAAGCTTGTGCATTTCCCACTGTTTATAATTGGCAATGGCACTTAATTCTCTGTAATAGCAGAAGTATCAGCAAAGATAATTTAAAAAATGACTCTTTGGTTTGGGGATATAATAGCTATTCACAACAGCAATAGAACTCTAACTTTGTAAAACAATACAGACCAATCTTGCTCTAACTTTCCATTCAATTTGTTTCAGCTATGGGGAACAAATTGTCCATTCCTAAAACCATGAGACCATGACTTTGCAGTTTCCTTATCAAACTCTTAAGTCATTATCCATCACATCTCAGTTAAAGCAATACTTCCTGTGAAAATTTCCCCAAGATTAAACACCCTTCCTCTGTGCTCCCACCCAGGGTACTACGATGTACTTACACTAAGGTAACAGCAACAGTTGTTTATATATTAGCCTGATGACTAAATTGTGAATAGTGAAGGGCAGACACTGTGTTAAGCTCATTCTTGAAATGTGAAGCCTTAATCTAGAAGCCACGATACAACAAATAACAAATTATCAAAAAATGTTTTACATTACTTGATAACCTTGCACCATTACAATTATTCTCCTAAAATATATTAGAAAAATGTGGGTAACTATTGAACACATACCAGATGAAAAGTTTTGTGAAGTGGATACAGGGCTGATGAAATTACAAGAATTAGGTCCCCCAGTCTGACTGTTACACACTGCCTTATCTAATTTAAATCTCACCTCAAGTCTAGGAATTAACTGGTATGTTTCTAAAGAAATATGAGAAGTTAAATAATTTACGACAAAAAAATCAAGACTCAAATCCAGATCTTCCGACTCTAAAGCCTCATACACCACTGCTGTTTCACAAAATGCTGTAGAGCCATAAATAAAATACTGACCCCATCTCATTAAAAAAAAACAAAAAAAACCCTACAGTATGTCTGCCTTAACAACCGTATATCCTTTTTAATTTTAAGTAAAAAATTCATCGTTATCCATACCTCTTAGTTCCACATAGAAACGGATGGATGGGAGTAAGAAGAAGGGAGATTTAAAATAATTAAAAAAGAAAAATACCTAAAAAGTCCTACAAAATCGAAAAAAAAAAAAATCTTACTGAATTCGATTTCACTGGGCACGTTTACTTTTAAAAGTGCTAAACGACACTAGTCGTGACGAATTTATTGCCAGGACATATTTTCCGTATATATGACCTACACTTGTACGTAGAAAAAAAATATTGATTGTATTTTTTGGTGTGTGCTTTACACGTTCTCAAGTCTTCATTACGCAGTTTCATCAAAACGAGGGAGTGTTCTACTGGTGGCTTTCATTTTTCTACTTCTTACGCCATCAGGTCCGTTTTTCATACATATTATCACCTCTTTCTATTTCAAACCCAATTTACCGCAAAACAAAAACAACTCCCCAAGTATCACGATATTTAAGAACCTTCTCCGCATCTACGGGGCTGGGAAAGCCCTTTCCACTCGAGACTGAGTTGGCAGAGCCCCAATCCTCCCCGCCTTCAACTTCGCGTAAATACCTCACTCGTGACCCGCCCGGCCCGCAGGGCTCGGGAAGCCCCCCCCTTACCCAGTGGGAAAGGCCGCCCTCGAAGGCCAAAGTGGGCTCCAGCCCTCGCCCTCAGCCACCACGCGTCTAAAAGGCGTACAATCTGCTCCCCTCCGCCGGTCAGAAACTCCACCGCCGGACAGGCCACCGGCAGAGGAGGCCTGCGACCGGCATCCCTTCGTACCCGCGGTCTCGAACCGAGCTCGTCCACCCCAACCCGCTTAGGAGGAAGCGGCCTCCGTGTCCCCAGGCCTGCACTTCGTTCCCTCCCCTCCCCCACCCGCGGCCTTGGCTAGAACCACCTCCCCCGAGGAAGCCCGAGCTCCACAGTTTAGTACCTCAGCCCCGGAGCTGGCACTGAACAGGGCGCGTCCCGCTCACCGCGACCACACCGCCGCCTTCCTCCTCCGAGCTCGAGGACTCTGAGGCAGAGCAGTCGGCAGCGAAGCACAATGGCGCCCGCCCCTCTCCTAGATCCGGCGCAGAACCAGCTGCCACCGTTAAATGCCCCTCCCTTCTCCTCCTCCTCCCAGTTCTCGGGCTCCGCCGGCTTCTCGCGAGAGTGGCGGCGCTGCGGGAATCTGAGAGCTGTCGGCGGACTCGACGTACCCTACCGCGGGGTGGTGCTCTGACTGCGGCAACCGTTGAAGGGCTGCTTCGGGAGGAGGCAGCGAGGCGCCACCGGTAAGCGGCTGCGGCTGGTCGTCCGGTGGGCTGGGCCCGCGAATGTGCGGGCTTCAGAAGCTGGGCGCTGGAGGCCCGGCCCTGGTTGGCCGCCCTCGTCCTAGGTGAGGGGCTCTGATCCAGCCCTGCCGCTCCCTGCACCCGAGTCCTGGCTACAGGCTCTCACCCCCTCCCGCAAACCTGCAGGGCCCTACGGCTCGAAATACCGTCTACCCTTTTTTTTTTCTCCTGCGCTAAATAAGTGGCGCCGGCAATGTTTAGCTGTGACTTGTATCAGGCACTGCCTTTTGCGACCGCCCCTCCTCCCAGCTCCCCGCCCCCCCTATTTAATGTCTGCGAGCCCTCCCCTTTCAGAGTGGGAGCCCATTCGGATCGTACGTTTTTTTCGGTAATTCAGTTTTGGTGGTGGTGTACTTTTGCAGTCATGTCTTTTTAAGTAGTGATACTAATATTTGGTAGTGCAGCAACAGATTTTGCAGTAAAAATTTCATCCCTTTAGAAAGAGGAAGGAAAACTGTGAGTCAACTATGGTCTGGTGAAAAATTTGTTTAATGATCTGATGAAATTAGGCGAAACTTACAAAGAACTAAGTGATAAACTAAGATGTAAATGAGTAATTGTACATGAAAGTGAGTAGGTTAGAGGGAAAGCCACAATTTATGTGGACTTCTTAATATCATGTGGATTTAGGTGATGTGAATTTTGAGTAATGTTTCAAACAAAAGTTCTTTCAGCATATTGAAACTTGCAAATATACTGACAACACTTGACTTAAAAAAATTTTTTTTTCTTGGTTTTAGAGGGAGAAGAAGGGAATGGGAGAGAGGTAGAAACATCATGAGAGAGAACATCAATTGGCCGCCTCCTGCATGCCCCCTACTGGGAATTTAGCCCACAACCTGGGCATGTGCCCTGACTGGGAATGGAACCTGTGACCTTTTGGTGCATGGGTCAAGGCTCAACCACTGAGCCATACTGGTGGGCACAACACTTGACTTTTAAAGTGACCTAGTTTATTAAGTTGTTTTAAGCAATTCACTGAATTCAAGTAATTTCAATAAATGAAGTATGAAGTTTATAGGTATTTCTGTCATTTTATCTGAAGGGAATGCACTATTACTGTCATCTTCATTTTTCACTGTCTTGGAGACTAGGAGACTGTCCATGCTTCACTATTGTAAATATTAACAATTTAAAGTTGTATTATTATTATGTAAAGTTGGCACATAAATGACAGTCTAACTTTCTGGGATGTGAGTTGAAGATTAAGTAACTGGTATTGGATAAAGTGAACACAGATTACATTTGAGGAAATCAATTTGCCCTTTTTAGAAAACGAATCCCACCTCTCCCCCGGCCTGTTTGAGTATACCTGTAGCATTGTGGTTATGAATATACATACCCTGGAGCACCAGACTACATGGGTTCAAATCCCAGCTCTGCCTCTTATTTTACTACCTTTGTTATCCTGAGCAATTCCTTAACCTTGCTATACCTAGGTTTTCTGTAAAATGGGATTCATAACAATATCTATATCCTTAGGTAAATAAGATAATGCATCAGTTCCTGAAACAGTAAAACATTCCATAATTGTTAGTTCCTACATTCCATATCCAAACTACCACTAATACTGTCTTTCTGGGGCTTAATATTACATAGGTCCCTTAAACTTCTTCTCAAGTATATTCTACGCTAAGAGGAATGACTGCACCATTTTCATGAGCTATGGCAGTCAGACCTGGTGGCAGCAACTTCTCTACAGAACTCCCAAACCTGGCCAGGATGATTCAGATTTTGGCAGATTGTGGTTTCATCCCCACCCAGCACTGATGTTATCAGCATAGGTGAGTGTGGCATCAATTTTCTAACAGACTCTAGTTTTCTATTGATACTAGTAAATAGATAAAGACCACTGATAAATATATTTTTATTTTTTAAGAATGGTTACTTAGTATTGTTTTTTACTGCACTTTCTCTGATTTGAATTTCCAGGAAATTATCATTTTCAACAAATAATATATTTTCCTATGTTTAAGACAATATAATAGGAATTGTGGATACAAACAGGTATGAGAGTGACTATATTTTCTGAACTTTTATAAAAATCAGAACAAAATGATTTGTCAGGCAAAATGTTTGAAATCAGAACTGTTCTGACCAATTTAGATTCCATGGTTACCTTTTTTACATAGAGTTCCCCCTTTTGACTTTCCTTTGATGAACTTTTTCTCCTTATGACACACCTTTCAGTACCTAAATCTTTTTTTACCACTTGCCCACACTTACTCATATTAGTTTACATTTTTTAACTTGGCTTCTTCTCTAAATTAGGGTCTTACTACTGGTAGTCATTCTTTTTCTTTCTACTTTATAAATTTGTTATTTGGTCATGGTCATAACAGCCCTTTACTTAAAAAAAATTTGTTTAATATATTTTTCCCATTTATCTTCAGATACAGAGGGAGGGGAAGAGAGACAGAGAAAAAAACATCGATGTGAGAGAGATACATCGACTGGTTGCCTCCCGAACAACCCGCACTAGGGCTAGGACCGAACCACAGCCAAGGCACATGCCCTTGACCGGAATTGAACCTGCATGACTCTTTGGTCCGCGGGCCAGTGCTCTAACCGCTGAGCCAAACAAGCCAGGGCTACAACCCTTTACTTTTATATTTAACTCTTTATTTCTTCAACCACCTGATAGCTTAGAGTTCTCTTTCATAAATTAAATTTCAAAGTCCCTGTTTCCCCACTTTTTATCATCCTTCATCCTAACTTCCTAAGAAGCCTCTCTATGGCAAGGGCAATCTTAGACATTCTTTATTTTGAGTAAACATGATCATGAAAAGGTGTGGTTATATTTGCTTTTTGTAAATCAAGTATTTTTTGAATATTGGTTATTTCTTAAACTTTAAAAAAATATATTTTATTATTTATTTACTTATTTTGGTTAATTCTCACTCGAGGATATTTTTCCATTGATTTCTAGAGAGAGTGGAAGGGAGGAAGGAAGGGATAGAGAAACACTGATGTGAGAGAAACACATCAGTTGGTTGCCGCCCACATGACCCTAACTAGGGCCGGGGATGGAACCTGCAAATCAGGTACATGCCCCCAATCAGAATTGAACCTGTGACCCTTCGGTCTGCTGGCTGATGATCTAATAGCTGAGACAAACTGGCCAGGGCTATTTCTTAAACTTTTGAGGAACAAGAAGTAATACCTGGGATGGGATGGGAGTGTTTATAGAGAGAGTGCTTGTAAGAATGCCAGTTTCTTCTCATATGGAAATCTCATTCATCCCTGGAGAAGGGAACCATATGGCATCAAGTTGAGGTTCTATTCTTTAGTTATAGGTAACTTTAAATATGTAGTATTTATTATTAATTAACAGTAATCTATAAATTGAGGACTCTTTTTTCTAAGGACTACATTACTTAAAGGTCCTTTGCTTTAAAACTTTAATGTGAAGAATTCCTTTGATGTAAAGAATCAATAAACCCGATTTAGTAATTTTGTGAATTTCAATTTCCCCCTTACCAAGTTTAATTGAAAGGTGTCACATTTAATAAATGAATATTTTTATGTCTTTTTTTTTTTTTTCCTTTATTGATTTGAGAGAGAGAGGAAAGGAGAGGGCAAGAGAGATGAAAACATCGATGAGAGAAAACATTGATTGGGCCGCCTCCTGCATACCCCCCACTGGGGATCTGGCCCACAACCTGGGCATGTGCCCTGACTGGCATTCGAACCGGCCACCTCTTGGTACATGGGTCGATGCTCAACCACTGAACCACACCGTGGCCGAGCTGTTTTTTTCTTTTTTTATTTGAGAGAGAGAGAAACATCAGTCTCTTGCCTCCCATATGTGCCCCGACCTGGGATCAAACTCACAGCCTAGGTATGTGCCCTGACCAGGGATCAAACCCTCAACCCTTTTGGTATACAGTATGATGTTCAACCAACTGAGCCGCCTGGCCAGGGCTCTCTGAGAAACTTATTACAGTTAAGCTTATGGTCTATGTCTCATTGATTCTAGGAAGATCATTCCTGCTTATATGGCTGCTCTAGAATATCTGGCCTGGTCAGGAACAATTCCCAATTTATGGAACATTTGGAATCCATCTAAAAATGTGAAGCACCTTTTACACTACCTGAAACACAGATAGTATTAAATTAAAGCAACTATATTTTATTATTGTTAATACTAGGGGTTGGAAAACTGGCACATAGGCCAAATCTGACACACCCCTTGTTATTGTAAGTAGTTGTACTGGAACATAGCCAGTCATGTTAGTTTATATATCATCTGTATATTGATTAGGGATCCACAGAACCAATAGTATACATTGTCTATCTATCTAATCTATCTTATCTAGCTTTCTAGAAAATTGGCTTACACAATTATAGGGACTGTCATGTTTGAAATGTATAGGTCAGGCCAGAAGGCTCGAAACTCAGAAAGGAGTTGATGTTGCAGTCATGAGGCAGAACCTTTTAGCTGGTGTATTTTTTTTAAATATGTTTTTATTGATATTTTTATTGAAAGAGAGGAAGGGAGAGAGAGATAGAAACATCTATGTGAGAGAGATACATCAATTGGCTGTCTCCTGCACACCCCCTACTGGGGATCAAACCCTCAACCCAGGCATATACCCTGACCAGGAACCAAACCGGGACCTCTCAATCCATGGGAGGACGCTCAGTCCCCTGAGCCACATCAGCTGGGCTTTTGATTTTTTCTCTCAAGGCTGATTTGATGAGGCCCATTATATTGTC